AAAGTTCTAGGAACTAACAAAATAATCATCACCCTCATTTTATGGTTTTGGGGCTGAGAGTTTATTCAATTTTTTCGCTTTGCTTATAACATTTATATATTTATGATTTATTTCAAAATTTTTGAAGCCAAGTTGTGTCATTCTATTTATCTTAAACGTCTCTTTTTAATAAGCCTTTTTCTTTGTTTTCATACTCGCCTACATTTTCTCTTCATAACGTCTCATTCTCAAACCCTAGCGCGCCACTCGTCTCGCGCATGCAATGGTCAGTCGGTTTGGCTTGTCTGATCGCCTGGGAGCCCAGGTTATCACCGAAACACAACTGGCCAGTAGTCAGGTCGGGCCGAGCACTCGAGATGCAATTGACGCAGAGGTGGCTGGCTTACTGTCTGCTTCACTAGAGCGAACTCGTGCTCTGCTTACCCTACACGCCGATCAGCACCGCCGATTAGCAGAAGCTCTGCTTCACTATGAAACCTTGAATCGCGATGATGTCGATGCGGTGCTTGAAGGTCGGCTTAAAACACCTACATCACAGTTGCCAGCAGCCTCTCCATCTAACACTGACAATGGTCCTCGGGCCATGGATCCCGGTGACCATGATTTAGGGGGATCTTTGAAGGGACCCAGAAGACGCATGCAACCAGCTCCTGCCAGTTTTCCGAAGCCGACTGCAGCTACGGCTGCTACCGTTGCTGGCTCGAGTGGGGTCAGCCCAACTCTTGCCTAGTGGCTTGAAAATATGGGCAGGGTATGGTGGATGTAACAATTTAACTCCTGCTTTTCAATGCTGTTTCCAGTCCCCATCAGCATAGATTATCATGTCAGGCAGCCAATAGAGCCTACGGTTTTGTCACAAAGCGCACCATTTTTATTTCCTAATTCGCTATTTGATCTTTACAGTATGCTTGCTCTAATTAAGATCTGACTCCTATTTGTTCCTTCGAGTAACTATATGGCTTATTTCCATTTGTTTCGAAACTCACCTCTAATACTAGCTTGCTATTTTGCGCGTTTGTGCTGATTTGGGAATCGTTTGATATCGGGAGCGTGTCCTATAAACCAAGATTTGGAGTTCTCATTAACTAATTTACTATGTCTGCATTCTTTTGTTTTAAATATTCAATAGATTTAATGTCCATCTATCTTTAAATGGGCTGCTCTTCATGATTTCTTCCCGTTTGTGTAAACGTAGGGGTTCTCTTTTAATTGTGATCTGAGTTTGTTAGCAATAGCCACTAAATTGGTGAGCTCTCTTAAGAAACTATTGATTTAGATCACCTTACGGATGCTTATTTTATGTATGTATGCGCATCTTCATATTTGAGGTGTCCTATGATTAGGTCCATCAAGATTTTTGATTACCATTTGTGAATAGACGTATATTTTATTTTAAATTCGGTCTGGTAAGATTGCGATTTAAACTACTTCATTATCTGTGCTAAAAAAAGTAACTTCCGAAAAATTCCTTAAGGCGTTTATGCATTTGTATTCTTCTTTTGATGATACCAATCTTCAACAACTTTTCCCATGAAATGAATGTCGTGCTCAGTAATAAGTTCTAGTTTTTATGGAGTATGATTGCACTTCTATAGCTAAGCTTAGATAAGAAATTTTTAAAATAGGCAAATTCAAGGCATCCTGATTTTTGACACGCTTTTTCTTGAGCATAGTTTTGTCTATGCCATACAAGGGCCAAATATTTAGCTTCATGGTATATCCCTTGAAATTAGTACCAATTCAGAGTTTGTGCATATATTTTTCCTATTTAATTATAATTTTATGTTATTTCTTTTGTGAGCATTGTGCTTATGCCTAAGACAATGCGAATTTTCGTTTGTATGCCTTGTGTGTATTTGTATTATCCTCCTTCTTCCTGTCTTATTATATCTCTCGTGTGACAATTTGCCAGTGGTCCAAGCGAACTGCGTCTAAATCATGTCCATACAGCTCAGCACTC